TTGAAAGAAATTGCATATATTGGATTAAAGGATGATGACAATAGAAGCGAGTGAAGATATTCAAACAAAAGCAAATATAAATAAATATAGAAGACTTTGTCAAAGACATAAATCTTTCAAGACAACAAGATGACTTTGATTTGAATAGCGAATATCAAGAAGAATTGGATGAGGACATTAAAAATATTGTATGAATCAAATAAAGTTGGATTATTTGGTGCATACCGGAGGATGCACAAGTTCAGAGGAGGTGGATGTCGTGTTATAACACGACTATGTAGTGAAAGATGATAACATGAATCTTATTATAGAAGAGCCAAGTTAAAAGAAAAAGTAGAAAAATATGAATAAAAGATAGGAAGGTAATAAAACTTTTAGTAGCAATGTTGCCTTTTTAGAAGGTAACTTCTACTTACTTTGTAGCACCATAAGTAAGGCAAAATAAGGTAGATTGGAAAAATAAATGATATAAACATCTTTAGGAGGAAGTTAAGAGTAAATTCTAGAAAAAAAAATTACTTAAAAAAACTAGATATTGATACCCAGAGAGGGTCGGTTATGAATCAGGGTATGAATCAGGGTCGAAATCAAACCCTGGGGCACAAAACCGAGTCTCAACAATGACTCTAGAGTCTTTGGCAGATTGGAGAGTGGGATTTGATAGAAGAGTAGATTAGGGTTTGGTTAGGATTTGATTTAGGATTTTAGGTTTGGATTAGGTTTTGGTTTAGGATTTAGGATTTAGATTAGGTTTTGGTTTAGGGTTTAGAATTTGGTTAGGCTTTGATTTAAGATTTAGAATTTGATTAGGGTTTGATTTAGGGTTTAGGATTTGATTTAGGATTTAGTTAGGATTTGGTTTAGCATTTGATTGGGATTTGGTTTAAGGTTTGTTTAGGGTTTGATTCAAGGTTTAGGATTTTATTAGGATTTAAGATTTAATTAGTTTTGGCCTAAAGTTTGAATGAAGTTCAATAGGATTTTAACTAGAATTAAATTAAGATTGAATTGAGATGTATTTGAGTGATATTTGTGATCCTTCTAATATTTCTTTAAGAATTCTTATTGTTTGTTTGAAATTTCTTTGAGGTTTTTTTTGAATTTGATTAAGCTTGCTTAGCATTATTATGGTCTAATTAGAGCATTATTAGTATTCTATTAGAATTAAGATTTTGTTATTGCAATTTCCATTCTTCCTTCCACATCGAGGTGCTCGGAGCATTCTCAAGCAAGACTTCATATAATACGACACCATGTCTTAATTAAAAGTTCGACAAGTCACAACTTTCAATATATATAATATGGGACATTCAACAATTTTCTTATCCTAAATTGGTATTTGTAAGGTTTGTTGGTACTTGCTCCTAAATACTTATTAGAGCATGATCTATTTGCAAGTATATAAAGGTTGATATTTTGTGCATATCATGGAAAATGTATAAGTCTTATCTTTAGCTTTTTTTTGTTATTTGATGATTGTTACCTTGTTAGAATCTTACTTAATACATTTACTTCATAGTGCAACATCAAGATGGATAAAGTTAACAACAATCTAGCTTTAGTAGTTGTAAATTTTTCTGCATCTAGATTTTGGATGGAGAAGAATGAATTTCTTGCATAGTAAGCATGACCACTTCATTAATCAATTAATTGTTGTGCAATGTCTTTTTTAATAATCTTGCATGTAGTTGCATTTGCTAATGGGAAAAAATTCTTTATAAACATTTTAAATATGCTTGATGTTTATGTGCTTAGATACACATAGACAAAGAAGAAGTCAACAATTAAGGAAGAATATTGAAGTTGCTAGTAGTGTAGAGCCACTATTAAGACAAAAATATGTAGTTGTTGCTGCCTAGTTATTATGGATATAAGAAGCAACTAACAACATGTAAAGGCTGAATTTTTGTTTTGTTGGATGGATTAGCAGAGAAGTAGCTATTACAAGAGAAATAATGATATAATTTTAGTTGATCTTTGTAATTGTGTCAATCTTGTCATTATGCATTATGTTTTGGTGATTATTCATGCCAATGTGGCAACAATCCATGAACAACTCATCTGTTTGGGATGTCTAAAAAATAGCTCTACAATGTCATAGTCTAGATGAAAGTACATATTTTTTCTTTGTTAGCTCCTAAAATTGAATTCAAACATAAAATAGAATACATTGACTAATTTCTTTATTTCTTGACTGATGTGTACTTTTCGGATTGAGACAATAATTGAATAAGATTAACAATAAGTTAGCCAAATACTCTTCACCAAACAAAGACAATCTTTAAGGTTTGATTCTTCATTTTCTTTATTACTACAATTTAAGTAGCTTGGAATTATTGTGCTATCTTATAAAGCTTAGCATGTATTTTTTCTTTTAGACTATGTATCCAATAATCTCATGCAAAGATGGTTTATGTCTAGATTTATTTGAATGATGTTTGCAACTTTTTGAGATATAAATGACAAAAAAATATTGGCATTTTGTATCATCTATATATGTTGGATGGTTTTTTATTTTTTATTTTTACAAAAGTAGTTGTCTTTCTGAGATCATGGAATTTGAGATAATTTTAGGAATGATGTGGGGCTCTCCAATAGCAATCCTACTTAAATCACTTAATTGGCTTGAACAGTTTTGTTAATATCCATGGACCATAATTAGTATCATTATTGCAAGTTAGGTGTGTACCTTTATATTGAAGGGCTCTAAATAACCAATAGAATCAACTTTGGATATGGCAAGGAAATAACCAAAATCTATTTTGGTTGACTATTCTAATGTACCTACATAGCTTTTAGCTACTGAGGCTAGAGAAGTGTGGTATAAATAAACTTTGAATTTATAGCTTCAAGGTTTTGTGAATTTTGTGTTAGTTTTAAGCTCTTTAAAAAGCGAGTTGTTGAAATTGCAATATTATCTTCTATAGATTTGAAGACCATATTGTACTCTCTATGTAAGAGGTTTGTGTGAGTTACAATTGTTCATTCTTCATACTCTAGTTAACTTTATTAAGTACTCTTATATATTTTTCATAGTGATTTGTATAAAAGTAGGTGCTTAAACTATTGGTATAGATTTGGTAGAAGATTGTGACAATATGGTTGTAAAAGGGAGAAAATTTGATTGCATCAAAATTGTCATTATTCTATTTGGAACAATATATGTATGTTTATATATATATATATATATATATATATATATATATATATATATATATATATTTCATAAATTTGGTGATACTATTTTGATATTTATGTTTATTATGATTATGATTAATTTTATATTTTTTGTTATTAGAATAATTTTTACTAATGGTTTTTTTAAGATTGTAGATTTTTAATATTGGGATTCAAAACATATTATCTTCATTTGTTGTCATTTCAACCAAAACAACTAATTTGTATATATATAAGTTTATATATATATATATATATATATATATATATATAAATGAGCAAGTCTTTTTAATGTAGGACATCCTATCAAAATATAAGATATTGTTCTACCCAATTTTCCATTTAATGTAGGACAATTCACTCCTACTTGCCTTTTTGGTATATAATTGTGACAAGTAATTATTCAATTTTTAATGCAAGGTTGCCTCTCTTGTGCAATTTTAACATGCACAAGAATTGAAGCCTTCTTTAATGTCCTTTGTAAGTGTCCTATATTAGAAAATTTGTATTCTATATTACTCCATATAAGACAAATATTTTAATATCATGCATCAAAATGATATATATATATATATATATATATGAGCATATTATCTTTATTTATAAAAATATATATTGGTGGTACATTGATATTATTAATTTAGTTGTATTACTTTTTAAAATAATTTTAATTAAAGTGAAACTTTATAAATAAATAAAAATAAAAATGATCTTCTTATGATTTTAAAATAATAATTTTTTTTAGAATGGAATTTAGAACCATCAAAGCTAATGTTTCTATATATATATATATATATATATATATATACATAACATTGTTATTTTATTTCTTGCATATTCTATTTTTTTTATAATATCATTCTAAATCATCAAACTGATCATTTATTTTGAAGATCAGTAACTGCCAAAAGCAATTGCGATTTTCCCAAAAATAATAAAAGTTTTAATTAGAATAAACATAACAAGCGTATTCTTACAAATGCACATTGATCAATTTTGTCATTCTTTAAATATCATTTCTAAGGACATACTTGAGTGGTTGTTTAAGATTTTAATATATCTTTAAAATTAAGGGGAAAAAAAAAAAAAAAAAAAAAAAAATGTTGATTTTCTCAGATGCATCTGTTACAGGGCTTTTAATTACTTCTACTCTTCTAACAATTGTTGTCCTATTGTTCTAAGGTACATAAGTCTTCTGATGTCGTCAGTTATTATTTCTATTTCCAAAAATTACGATACACTGCCCAGTCGTATGTTATAAATGATGTATATCATTTGTTTTCCTGAATATACCCAATTGAGAACATATATCAATAGGACATAAACACAAACTGTTGTAAATTATTACTAAATTACAATTCGCTTTAAAATTTTCATGAATAAAGATTTCTGAAAAGAAAACTGCGTTGAATATCGTTGTTTCAACATACTCTTTACAATGTGGATGTTTTCTAAAATTTGATTCTTCATGCACGCTCTTACCAGTTAGTATGCACATGTTTTGGTCGTCTAATGACCAGTTGAAATAATTCAAGCGAAATATACCCAACTTAATTAATGTTTTCTTTCTCGTGTTTGCTTCTCCTCCTCATGGCAAACTAAAAATAGAAAATTCATTTGTCAAAAAATAGATCTAGGCTCACCTCAAAACCTTATCTTAATTTATTGTTTGAACCATAACTTGTCACAATATTGGGTACATTAGTAGAATATCCTTGGAACAGGAGAGCCTTTCATGATGAAAAATTAACCAGACTGATTGAATCATCGTTGTCACAACATGTAATTTGTGGATCTCATGACGTTAAATGTGGGGATAAAGATGTGATTAAGGCACATGATGGTGCCCGAGGAGATTGAGCTTGATAAAAATGGTAACCAGGTACATGTTTCGAAAGACGAAAAACATGATGATTTCTTAGAAGCAAAAAAAATGTTCTAGATCAGAACACTACATCATCTTCATTTAAACTAAAATGCAATCAGCTGACTAAAGTTAAGTATGCACGAAGATACCTCAATTGAATACAGAGGTTTCAGATACTCGTGGAGGAGTTGATTCGGCCGTCATGAAACCAACATTTGCCCAAGACTCGTTAGGACATTAACAATCTTCCCCCCAATTCGTGATACTGAGGATCTGCAGACATGTTCCGTCAAGAGGAACTCTAGCATGCTGGCTCACGTCAGGCCCTCCAACAACGCCGCCGCTCACAGCAATATGGCAACTTTAAAGGTCAAACTCGTCATCTTTCAAAGCTTCCTGTGCAGCGGCCTCCTCTTCGTCGTCATCGAGTACAAAGTAAGGGTTGTGCACAACGGGCCTGAACTTGTACCCTGTGTAGATATAAAAGGCAAGATTGGCAGCCTCCTCGGCGAACTTGCTGGTCCATTGGTACCGATAGACGGTGACAGTGAACAAGGCGAACACAACTATGCGTGTAAAGTAAATGTAACTCACGACCACGATGTAGAATTGGCGGAACAGAGTAAGCTTCGCCAGGTTTCTAGCAGCCTTGCCATCAGTACGGGCAGCCTCTCTAAGATGCTTGATAGACCAAACAATAGGGAACAACACTGCACAGCAACATATGATATCTAACAAAAGGAAAACTTGCTTCCAGGTGAAGAAATCCTTCGTTGAGGGACCAGACTCGTCGTAAACAATGTAAGCGGTGTTCGCAAACACCTGAAGAGGAATCACCACCATGAGTACCTTCTTCTCCTTGTCCTGAAGGAATGGCTTCAAGAAAGACCATCCAGTTCCGATAAGGACAATAACACTGAATAGCAGCAAACCTCGGAGGAAGTTGAAGATGTAGTAAGCAACATCCCATCCGTGTGGTGTTCCTGTCCTCTTCACATACTGCTTGTCCTCTGCCTCGCAGATCATGTTCAAGGCTTTCAAAACGACCAACAGGCCCATCAAAAAGTGGATGCGGTGCACCGATTCCTTCTGCGCCCAGCACGCGTAGATCCAAGTGCCCAATAAAGCGACATTGGCCAAGAAGAAAAGGAAGTACATCCTTGGGAGCACAGTCTGCCCGACGGGTAAGAAATCCCTGTAGCCGTTCTCCACGTTGTACATCGAAGTCTTCACCTCCATCGAGACCTCAGTCTTCACACAATTCTCAAAGAAGAGAGTATACTCATTGGATTGCATCACCTGATGCGTGAAGTTGGCTTTCACGGGATCAGCCATTGTGAACAAGGTGTGCATCAAGTTGCTGTCGAGGAGACAGTTTTTCCCTAGCCCCTCCAACTGGGAAATCACAGGAACCAGATCATCCATAGTAGAAAGGAAAAACCCCATCCGCTGCAGATCAGCCGCCGGGTCCTTCACCTTCACGTTCGTCACTTCTATAGAAACCTCACCCCCGACCGAAAAACCAAAAGTCTCGAACGGAATGATAGGACGCGCATCGTTTTTAATTGACAGGTCCTTGATCTCACCAGACACTAGCGGCATCAACGCCAGCACCACAACCAGAGCCTTCAGCAGGCCACTCCTGCCCGCCATGGTGTCACTATTCTTCCAAGTCCCGTGTCTCGTTAGAGACTGCTCCCCTTCAGAAAACTCTCTTCGCTTAACAACACTGGTCACGGCCGAGATCTCTCAACCTCCCGTCCACATTCAACATACCATCGACTCCACCACGCTCTGACTCCACCCCCAAAAACCAAACCCTAAGATCTAAAACTCCTTCGCATATCCCACTCCGACCTCCCACGCTTCCATACCCTCACCTACCTACCACGCCACTTACTCCCCTCAAACAAAAACAACCAAATCACGACAACTACAACAAAAAGGGTTCTGGGGATGACCGCGACGAAGAAGAGGGAAGCCGCAATTGGAAAGGGATAGCGAGCGAGAGCTAAGGCGAGCTCGTTTACGGGGCGCATTCCCATCGTCACGAGGAGGGTCTGGACGGGGGCGCTCATGGGTCCCGCCTCCCATCGCGCGGTCACGGGTGTCCCTTCCCCAATCATGCATCCTGCCCTCCCCTCCCCTCCTTGACTGCTCCCACCCGTTGACCGCGCCTATTGTGCCTCCTTGGCCAGCGTGGCATGTAATGACGTGGCAATGTTCATCCAGTCTGGTCATTGCTTCGTATGACTTCGTTCACCTTCTGTTCGTCACTCGGCGCCGTTTCGTCCACTTCACTGTGGGTCCCATTGGTATTAATTAATTATTTGGTTCCGTTGATTATTAATACAAATGGGACCCACAGTGAAGATATCTGTTTTTAAGGGTTCAATTTGCAAGTAATACTCTAATCAAATTTAAGTGTTTGTTCTTTTAGGAGAACACATGAGTTATTAAAGCTTTCTAAATTTTAACGTGAAGCCAATGAGTTGTTAAATTTTTCCATAAATACCATGAAAAATAATTTGTCCACACCTTTTTTTTTTTATTAGATTATTAGATAGTCTGTAAAATTAGTAACGGTAAATAAGTTTGGAAGCTTCATGTAACCAGTTAGTTCAATCACTCTAATGTATGTTTGTATCAAAATCTTTTAGACAACATTGACAATAGTCATTTTGTGAAATAAAATATAGTTATTTCTTTATGGAAAACTACTTCAAATTCATGAATACATTTATTCCCAGATTTTGCATCATACAAACATTGTACATATAAGATTTTAAAACATTATATATAAGATTATATATATATATATATATATATATTGGGGGTTGTTTTTATTGTACTTTATAAAACGTGATTAGCAAGGTTCTCTTTCAATCATATTTAGTTTTAAAATTTAATAATAATAACAATAACAAACAAGTCATTACTTGCTTGCATTTCAAGTATAATTTACATATATAAATGTAGTACAGATTTACAATACCTTACTGAAATACATATTTAATAATTACACCAGGTGTTATTATTGTAATGTTGTCAAAAACTTGTTTTTTCTCACAATCAAAAGCAAAGATTACAATCAATGCACAATGATAATTATTTTATCCCCTTCGAAGTCATTTTGAACACTTTTTAGACTTATAAGACCCTCTCCTATGTTTTTGCTATTCACACTTTCAAACCCCTTAAATGAATTTCAATGTCAATAAAATACCAAAGACTCTTGCTCTTTCACCTAAAAAATTGTAAACATTGTCAATCTTCACCAAATGTCAAAGAATAAAATGATCCATGTCAAGAAAGAGCTCGTGACACAACAACAACAACAAAAAAAAAAACACTAAACATTCACATTCACATCAGTGGTGACAAATTTTATTTGTTTTCTTTTCTTTTATAATTTAATTGAACTACATCATGCTTGGTTTTCAAAAGTAACATATCCATAAATTCAATAAACATCAAAGGAAGAACTCGAAAAAAAAAAAAAAAAAAAAAAAAAAAAACTCCACTAGTTAAAGTGTGTTGCTTCCACACAGCCTCCAATGTGCGTCTTAACATTACTTTACACTACAAGTCAAGCCAATTTGAAACTTTTTTATGGTAAATGGGTGTCTTCCGTGGGTTACAAGTCAGAAATGGGTCTCAATATTTCACACACTAATACTAAAAATACAATGCCATATATATATTTTAAATTATTTAATTAATCTATTTTTATTCCTAAAGCTTTAAACACATGGTAGGTGGAGAGTTCCACGATTTCCCAACACTATTCGTAATAAAACAAAATACATGTGGTAAATGTAGGTGTCCCATGACCGTGTGCAAAACCAATCGAAGGATTTCTATTGGACCACATTCATCGTAACCAACCCAATTATTTTTTTAATGAATCTACGTGGCAACGTGCTAAGGTGGACGAAAGTCCGGGGATCGGCGAACGATAGTTGACCGAACGACGAACGAACGAAGGATGATGCCATCAATCAGTGAAGAAGACGAGCTTGCGCTGCGCGACGCTGATTGCGAGCACCCCGATGCTGGTGTTGCTGCCCATTGTAGCCAGAGGCGGAATGTGATTCAATTGCGCTGGGTTCAATGTTCACCCTGGGCAATGTCGGGTAGAAGTTGCAGTTTGAGTGGTGGGTCTTGTGTCTAATAGGGTTTTTGAGCCTTTGTTTGGTGGTGGTGGTAGTGGTGGTGGAGTGTGTGATGGTTGTGTCGAGTGATTTTGGTGGTAGGGTTGACAGATTTTGAGGTTTGGGTGTGAAGGGGTCTCGTGGTAGAGGTGGTGAAAGATGGGTGTTGGGTTTTTTTTGGGTTTCAGCAACGGCTGCAGATGCGATCTGCGTTGTGGGTAGGCGTGGGCAGTGAAGATGGCGTCTCCGCGTGTGCAGAGGATGAACACCACGTTTAATCGCACGAGCTCCGGCTCCCCGCGACTGCAAACATTGGCCTCGCACAAATCTTCCTCTTTGTCGCGGTTCGATCGAGATGTTTTTTACGAAAATGCGCCCGATGCAGCGGCCGCCGAGGCGGCTTCCCGGGCTGCGATCGAGGAGTTCAAGAACGATAAGATTTTCTCCAAGTTCCTCGTGGACGATTTCAATGCGACGCAATTCGCTAGTGAGGCGTTGAGCAGCGGATCTGCCGCGGCGTCTTCTGAGAAATTGCAGGAGGGAATTCAGCTGCTGGAGAGGCAGCTGAGGAGTGAGGTTTTCTTGCGGCACGATGAGCTGCTCCAGCAGCTGTCGAATTTGAAGGAAACAGAGAGTGTGCTCACGGTGGTCAGGGCTGGGGTGGAAAGCTTGCAAGCTTCGACGCAGAGAGTGAGGGCAGAGATTGCGGAGCCTTACAAGCACATTAAGTCCAAATCCAAGCAATTGGCATCCCTACACGATACGGTGGAGCTTCTCAGGACTGTGATCAGGGTTTTGAAGCAGATGAAGCGACTACAGGAGTTGATGGAATCAGGTGGGTCCAATGTAGACCTGGCCAAGGCTGCTCAGTTCTACAATGAGATAGAAATTCTCCGGAAGGAAACCGATCTTGCGGGCGTGGAGGTAGTGGATGACGAAATACCCTGGCTTTTCGAGGTTGGAAGTCAGATTAAAACCGAAGCAATGAAAGGGCTAGAGAAGGGGATGGAGTCACTCAACCAGGCGGAGGTAGGTAGCTTTTTACAGGTGTACTACAACATGGGCGAGCTCAAGCCTACGGTTGAGTCTTTGATCGGGAAATATAAAGGATTGGCCATAAAAAGTGTAAGTGCTGCTTTGGAGTGGAAAACCATTTCAGCAAGTGTTGGAAGTTCTCTTGGCTCGGGAGCCATTCAACGGAGCAATGCCTCTCAAGGCGCTGGTATCCCAAGAGCAAGAGAGAGCTTGTGGCAGAAAATGGGAACCTGTATGGACCAGCTTCATGGCATTGTGGTGGTTGTTTGGCATTTGCAGCGAGTGCTGGCAAAGAAAAGAGACCCTATCACCCACGTTGGGTTCTTGGACGAAATCATGCAGGTAAGAGGTTTACTGGCCGCGTACGTGAGTGTATTATTGCCAACGTCGTCTAGTCTGTTCAGTGCTTTTACTAGTGGAATTACTTGACGCTAGGTTTTATTTGTTTATTTATTTATTCATGTTTTGTGGAGGAGATCCATTTCTTCTCAGTTTCCAGTATTAGATCTATAATAGAATAGTATTTGAAAGCATTTGGCTATACTGAGGTTATTTTAGGTTCTTACTGTGCTATTTTGAACCACAAATAATATCACATTGCTTTGCAGCCTGGTGATTCGATGTTGACAGAGCGGGTTTGGGAAGTAGTAGTGAAATCATTTGCCAGCCAGATGAAATCCGCCTTCACTGCATCGAGCTTTGTCAAAGATACATTTGTTGTAGGTTACCCCAAGCTTCTCGGCATGGTGAATGGCTTACTGGAGAGACTATTCAGGGAGACAGATGTGAAGGGAGTGCCTCCAGCCATTAAGCCTGAAGCTAGAGATCAGCTTGTAGCAGCTCTGGAGCCCTTCCAAACGGCTTATTTGGGAAAGTCCCTTGGTCGCCTTTCTGAGCTTGTGAACAGTATGTTTCCAGCTGCTGTTCGTGGAAGTATTCCATCTCAAGAACAAATTTTCAGACTGGTGTCTCGTATCCACGAGGAGCTCGATGTGGTAAAGCCAGACGTTAGGCTCACATTTTTGGTGTCTCGAGAGATTGGCAAAATCCTCCGGCTTCTTGCTGAAAGAGCTGAATACCAGGTCATTAACCCCAAACACATGTATTATTTACTGCTGACTTAGAGGTATCCACATACAGATGTAAACGCGGACGTGTGCTCTTGTTTTATGTCCGGTCACCAATTTTGCACCTGTTCATTGATGGCTAGTGCACAAAATGGTTTACCTTGTGATCCATGCGAGACGATAGATTGGATTGTGTGCAGCTCTTACATTGAATGCTCTTGAACTAGACCTATGAGTAGCGAAGACTGTTTGAGAAAAAATGTGAGATTAATTCGTGCCATATTTGTGTTCTTTTCCAAGCATTACAATGCGGTACCTATCAATATCATTAACTCGTGGGTTATTGTGAAATTCAGACTTCTACGGGTCCGGAATCACGACAAGTCATGGGTCCTCTAACTCCTCAGCAATTGAAAAATATCACACTTAGCCTCCAACTCCAGGATGTGCATGCCAGAGTAACGTCCATGCTAGTCGGCCTCCCGAGTGCTACAATTGAGGTGTTATCACCATCTCTTACTGCTCTCCATGGAGTTGCATCAGATTGCATAACCCCTCTCTTCAAGGCAATAATAGAGAGGCTGGAAAATTGCATACTACAGATCCATGAGCAAAGTTTTGCGACTATGGACATGGATGGTGGCATGGGCAATGGCTGCTCGAAGTACATGGAAGATTTACAGAAATCAATTTTGCACTTCCGAAGTGAGTTTCTCTCTAAGCTATTGGCAGGCTCTACCCCAGCTGTCACGTCGATATCAGGGGAATCAATATCAGCCGGTCTAACAAGGAAATTGGCTTCTCGCGTTCTCCTGTTCTGGGTTAGACACGCAGCCATGGTCAGACCCCTTTCAGAATTAGGAAAGCTGCAACTAATCAGCGACATGGCAGAACTGGAGCTGGTGGTTGGTCAGAGTTTGTTTCCTGTAGAGCAGCTGGGTGCCCCTTATCGTGCCTTCCGTGCATTTAAGCCCCTGGTCTTCCTCGAAAGTTCGGAGTTTGCCAGTAGTCCTGTGTTGCAAGAGTTGCCCCCCACAGTTGTGCTCCACCATCTTTATACACGAGCACCTGTGGAGTTGGAGTCTCCATTAAAGCGCATGAAGTTGTCTCCTCAGCAGTATTCCCTGTGGTTAGATTCTCAAGGCGAGGAGCACGCCTGGAAGGGCATTAAGGCAACTTTAGACGAGTATGCTGCTAAGATCCAGGCCAGAGGCGACAAGGAATTCTCTCCTATCTACCCTCTTATGTTGCAATTGGGTACGTCCCTTAATTGGAAGTCGAGTTAGCTTTTAGGTCAGGAAGGTCTTGTTAGTCTTCTAATAGTAGTACCTTGTTGAGGGTGTAAATATCAGCCATATTGGGTTCAGAAAGCTCATGCCTTCAGAACATTCATGGCTTCTAAATGATTTTTGGGTTATTACTATGTGATGAGTACTTCATCTATAGCCTTTTACATAGTTAACGATGACGATGACCCCTTATTTTTTTTTTTCTGAATGAAGGGGTGTCTTTCTGTGTGACTTCCATCATTCAGAATCAATAAAGATTGTTTTTATATCACTTCGATTCGTGATGGCACCATTGATACTATCCTTTGGTAGTCTAAAGCACTCCTCCCAGCAGCGCGCATCGCTCAGGTCTGCTCCATGTATTAGTTTACGATATAGAACTACACTTGTTCTCAGATAGCTTGCAATTTTGTCGGTAGAAAAATTGCAGTCCATTATCTGTTTCAAAATCCAGAATTTAGTTGTGTTTGTGTGGGCAAGAGTCTTAGTTTCTACACATGCCCTCTGCTGTGCCAACAAAGCCTTCTCTCGAAAGGAGTCACAGTGGCTCTGGTAAACTGGGTATCTTATCTTTCAGTTTTTAATTATTGGTTTTTTCCTACTGTTGCTTTATTGCTTTGTTGCACATCAAATAAATTTCTCGGTAGAAGTTTATGAAAAACATCAATTATGTATTTTTCTTTAATTTAGAATGTTTGATATATTAAAAAAATTAGGTGTTAGAAAATAACAATTAAAACTATTATATGACCTAATTAGTCTTTAGAAAAAGTTTTGCAAATCTTATCAACAACACCTCTATTAACTTAGACAAGTGTGTCTATAAAAAGTCAAGAATCATATTATATAGATAAGCTAATGAAGTTTTTCTTTTCAAAAGTTGCTCCACTAAGACATATCTATGAAGAAAGAATTTAATATTGAATAAACTAAAAGAATTTAATAGTCTCTTATTATCTTAACAAGTCAAACTAATTGGTTTATTGTCTAGGATTTCAACAAGTTAATCAAAGAATCTTTGTCAAGAACAAAAAATATATAAAATGTAGTATTTATTAATTCAAAATATTGGATAAATTGTAAAAATGTTACAACTATTATACTACACAAATATCAGGATGACTTTTGACCCTCTAAACATCTAACATGATCATATAATAAAGAAATTTAGTGTAAGATTTTTTTAAAAAACATTCTAATCTTAATTATACCTATATAAATAAAAACTATTATACTAAGTAATTAAAAGAGTAATTTTCATGTTTTTTTTTGAATGCCTAACATTTTACCAAGTGAATAATTTTATTTATTTATTAATACCACAAACTATACTCAAAACTTTTAGTTGAATGTATTCCAATTTTTTGATCCTTTTTTCCCTACACACTTAATTTCAATTTCGAAAATTTAAGACTCAAAAAATTTGCATGAAAAAATAATTCAATATTAATATTCTGAATATATATACATATAAAAATAAAATATAAAAATAAATATATGAACAGAATACAACATAGGATTAGATGGTCAGACCAAGTGTTCCCAACACATGCGATCTCGCCCAAAGAGTGAGAGAACAAACGAATGAAGGTTGAGGATGAAAGCGGAGAGGATACGGATGAATGATGTTATAGATAGATGAATGCATGGATGAATAAAGACGATCGAGTTCCTTATCCATGTGGTGGTGCCGTGACGGAGAGCGTGCGACGTCTTCCCAACTGCGCCATCAATGGAGAGACTCCCCCTCACTCTCACTCGCTTACTCTCCTCTCCGCGCATTGCCGCTCCTCTCTCGGCGGGGATTGTTCCTGGATACTCTTCCTATCGTGGAGGTGGAGCTGCTCTTTCTTCTCTTTCTTTTGAGCCTGGCTCTACGCTGTACCGTGCATTGTAGCTCGACTTACAGAGTGTCGATTACCTGGCACTAGTCTCTCCTCGAGCCTTCATTTCCCGTGGCATTTCTAGATTTTTGCTCGCTCTTGAGGGAGAAATTTGAGCAGCGCACTTCGAGGATTTGGACGCAATGGCAACTGTGGCTTGCCAGATGACAACATTGAGAGTGGTTCAGAGTCACAGAGTAGTAGCCTTAGACAACCAGGCTGGACGAGGTTGCAGGACCAGTGCGTCCTGCGCCTCGTTTGGAGGAGTCAAGTGCGGAGCTGCTTCCACGTTGGGCATGAAGTTGCGTACTACCGGTGCTGATAGCTGGGGAAATAGGAACAGCTGTGCTGTGAAATTCGTAGCAAGTGCAATTGTCGAGGAGGCTGTGACTGCGAGCCAATCTGACTCTGGTGTCCCCGCTGAGGGTCTCTCCATGTACTTCAAGGTGGCTCTCTCTCTCTCTCTCTCTCTCTCTCTCACTCAACTTCCTGGATTATATTTTCCTTGATGCCGTTGAGTCTAAGTGAGAGCATCTCAAGATGGGACTCTCTGTTCATTGAGGCAGTCTAATTCATCTCTCCGGATACTGTTTTACAACGTTTACTTGCAGCATTGGATTCTTGTATCTTCTTTCGCTCTAGCTTTTCTCATATACGTGCTGAAATATGTCCTATAAGAACTGGAAGGTCTTGATGGAAGTTCTCAAGTTTGTTTAATTGCGGGAGTTTTAGTTAAAATAGTTCCAACGTAATTGTGGTCGTTCGTGTCATTTAAGGTTCCTCCAGGAATAACCATGCATTAGGGCTATCTTTGGAATTTCTCAGCCTTGCTTTCCCATTGTGCATTCCACACTTTACATGGAATCTCGTGATGTTGTTGAGTTCCTAATGCTACACTTGTGACCACTTCGTGCAGGCGGAAGGGTCATTGAACGAGAACAATATCCCGAAAGTCACCAAGGTTCTTGAGGTAAGCGTGTAATCTCTTTGACCTAGCTACTTAATTTATGAAGGTGAGTATATCGCACTTGTTTCACGGCGAGGTAATTCGCATGTACTCTTTGGGATTTGTTATATTGGAAATCTGAAGGCTGAATGTTCGGTCAAACGTTTGTATTACAGGAAACCGAGGGTGTGAGCCAGGTCAAGGTCTATGTCCTGGAGGGTGCCGCCACTGTTGAGGTAAATTGAATTTCATTTTGAGGCCTCTTCATAGATAGGTTTTAAAGTTAATGCTCTGGGTTTAATTTTGACTCCTCGACTGACAGGTTGAAAATTTGCTACATCCGATTTCTCTTAATTAGGTGTTGGAAATCGTAACATTTCAAGCGCAACGAAAAGATGCGCTTGAGAGCACTCGTTGACGCATCTCGAGCCACCATTAGCTTATCTTCTTTTCTAAGAGTTGTTGGTGACCTTCGAAGATGTTGTCCTATATTTGCCCGTGTGGTAACGTTCTTCTGGATGTGATTGTCGCAGCTAGTGAAGCAGACCGATATCCAAGCAACTGGTGTTGCATCAAGCTTGGTACAACTTATTGAGACGGCAGGATTTAAGATGCAAGCTCTCAGCTTAGGCTTTGATGGCGATGAAGCTGAGGATGACGATTACATCGACTACGCTGAGGAGGAAGCCACCACAGAGTAGAGATGATATGTCTCATCTTATTTTTGTCTTTTGTTTTTCACTGGTCTTTTTGTCTTTCTTGTAGAGAGGATACATTCGTCCTCGGCTCTAGGAAAATGACGAGTGTACAATTGCTTACCGCAATGTAATTTCCGATCATGAGCACTTTTTTCTTAATTTCAAGATGGAGTTGACAGGTTCCGAAAATGAGAAATCTGAGATGGTTGAGAATTGTGGCATGCTCACCATTTTTTTGCATGATTCATCTAAATTTAATCAAAGTAGTTGGCGAATTTGTCATCACAATTAGGATATAGATGCAGTATAGATAATATATCCTCGTTATTGAACTGACAATCAATTGAAAAAGCTCGCACATCACCAACAACAGGCCAAATGATTTGTCACATTTCAAGTCTCGTGAGCATAATATGTGAAGAGAACCTTCACTTGCTCATTGTTCACAATTAGTTGGGAGTTATGGGATGGGATTAATGTCTTTAGGAGGTTTTCGTTACTCTTTTGCATAATTAACTAATCATATGATTAATTTCATCAAGACCTGTTAGAGTTGCTGCTAATATTTACATGGTGGAATAGTCTCTGCAGGCAAATTCATAGAATGATGTTGACCATTGTGGGGAGGTGTCTAATCTTTTATGGCTTAATGAACTTGTAATATTTATTCTTGTACACTATCTACTATGTGTTAATAAGAGAACGTGTCATATAAATATTAAAGAAATGGTTCATTGGACTTGTATATTTTTCTAAAGAATGTAACTAATGTTGCAATGGATGTAATTCATATTTAGATATTTAGATATTTTTGGTTTTTCTTATTAAATCTTTGTTATACAGTAGAAGTATGTCACCTTTTTTTTTTGGCCCCTCATCTTCAAGATGTTTTATGATATTTGATTAGTTCCACCACAATTATAAGATAATTCAGAATTTCAAATAGTACTTATAAAATTTCCTTCAATTCATTATTAACATTTACTTTTTAGCATGTTATTATTTCTTAGATGAAAAAAAAATTTGAAATTATAAAACCAAAAACAGCTCTTACATTTTTAGTCTTATTTTTTATGGATAAACTAAATTCTTGGCAAATTTTAATAATATGCAGGTGTAAATAAATTATAAAAATAATCCTCAAAGTATCTGTAATGCAAATTTGCAACCAAATAAATTATTTATATATTTAACTGTTTATCACAATAATCTTTTTCAAAAAGAGACTTCTAACAAAAAAAGATAATTAAGAAAAACTGGAATATGTTATAACACAGGCTAGCCAACCATGAATACAACCACAAAAAAATCAATGTTAGAAAAAACAAAAAAAAGAAGATAGATTGATGAAGTTAGAAAAACTAATCTAAACAGATTCTGATGTAGTTCTGTTCGTATTACTATATGTTCTATTGAAGTATAAATTCTACCTCATATGTTACCAAGTTGCATATAATAGGCAAGACATTGAATACATTGCAACTTATTAATAATTTAAAAATTAAGATATGTAATTATCCATGTAAAAATTGGTTAATTTTTTTAATTTAATTAATTTTTTGATTTTAAGGATATTAATTTTTTCAATATTGGTTGTCATTTAAAGTTAAAGGATATACCTTAATAAATAACTAAATTTATTGTGATTTAATCATTAACACTTAGATTAAGTTGAAAGAGATACTTACTAAAGATGTTTGATTTAGTAATAAGCATAAATTTTTTAGTAATTGTTATAGAATGTAATATTCTACATTTTTATAGATTTGTAAAAGTGTAGTTATTGGATAAGATGTAGAGTATAAATGCATGTTGTTCTATTTTTATTTGCAAGAATATAAAAGATATTCATCCATAAAAATATTAGCTTAGTTAATAATTATAGACACATTGTTGATATTTATTGTAAATCTTGTAGTTAGTAATGAAATTGTTTAAATGCATACATCAAATAAATATTTACAAGCAAATTTGACCAATTTTAAATCTTTTTTAATAGAGTATCTAATGCAATTTATATAACATAAAAAATCTATCTTTATTAATATGTACAATATACTGAATGAAATTTTATTATAAATTTCTTAATATTTATCTATTTAATCCAATTTATTAAAAACAAATTAATGATAAGTGTGTAGGTGCATATCTTGGAACTTTTTATGCTCATAGGCTCTTTGTTGTCCACATGTTTATCATAAAGATATAATATTTGGTAATAACCTTTACAATAATAATAGATTTTGTGTAATAAGATATATATATATATATATATATATTTTTTTTTTTGATTCTCATAATTGCTTGTAAATGTTATTTGACAAAAATCATATTATACATGAAGTATCCAAGCATTAAAATTGATGATAGACTATCATAATGCTATAAATTTCTCTAATGCATATTTTGGCATTTACAAAGTCTAATCTAAACTTGCACATTTTAGATTTTTAATTTTATCTTTTAAATAATTAATATTTTTAAAATATTTTTTATTTTGCTGTAAGAAGTTGGTTTTAAAATGAATTAACATATGGTTTGTCCTATCTACAAACAATAATCAAAGATAATGATGATATGCTAAATACTATATTATGTATTTGAAATATTTATGTAAATTTATTTCAAAGAAGAATTTGTGTGCAAATTTTTTATTTTTATGTATTAATTTTTTAATTTTTTAATTTTTTATTTATTTTTTACACATAGAAGTAGAATTATTGTGACGTTTTTTCCTAAAATTTTGTATTGTATACAATTTCCATCTTTCAACCACCACTTCATTTCCTTATTTCATACAAACAATTTTGGCCTACAACAGTATCATGTATAAGTTTTTTTACATAATTTTGTACAATAATGCTATTTTGTATAGTTGATTGAATATTTAATGCTAGTACAAGATTAGTTGTAATTGTTACGAAAAGTAGCATAATTTGTGGTATATTATTCTAATGTATCTGATATTTCATATGTCACAACATAGAATCATAGTATGCTTGGATTTAAAACCTCCTTTTGTGTGCCAACAGCTACTGAGTTTAGAAATATAAATTACAGATTTAATAATGATATTTGTCCTTGTCACTAACATTCAAGTCAATTATCACAACAGAAAATTTTGTTGCAAGTACAAGTTGACTATAATTAAACTACAATTGGGTTTATAAACATGTATTAATAGAAAGATATGCATGGAAAACAAAGAAAAATATGAAAATAAATTCCTACCATAGTGGATTTGTTTCAGTATATTGCTCATAATAAAGCTCACAGATCATTATTTGATCACATCAATACACAGAACTTATAACAATCCATACAGTATTGGTTATATGGCTTGAATATCTACCGCATATTTTGAGAAGCACTGTAAGTGATGTTCAGGTTATCACAATAGCCTCATTCCTACACATGCTCCACTACGTGCTTGGCAGGGCTCTGATACAGGAAAGTATCCCGGGCACTGGGGCCAGGTCTTGCGCATCATCAAGCATCCTGTAGTAGTAAAGAATACAAGACGGTGAAGAGTATCAATCAAGTAACGATGTGTTCATTCTCTCTTGTAAGGTCATTGCAGACTGCAGACCTCGTAGATGAGTGCTTAATCTTCTGGATAAGATCATATCTTCAAACCATACAATTGTATAAACCAGATTTTCAACACTGTACCACAATAGTCGTGCACTTGGCGTCTCAATTCTCTTCACGTGCTGCTCATCAACAAATCACATCCAGCAAAGCATGCGGGCACAATCATCAAAATTGCCCCCAAGTGCAAAAAGTAAATTACATTCCAATCAGTGCCAAAGACATTCTATGTTGAGGAGCAGTGAATTACAGTCTGATCAGTAACAAGCTTGATCACCATTCAGCATCAAAAGTTTGTCAACCGGTGCAAATGACAACAGATTTCTGCGCATTAAATTTCATGCTGATTCGAAAAAATTGAATCGACAAGTTCCTCATCTACAACTGCTTAGTGCTACGATAAGAACGAGGACCGCAGGGCTATTTCTATACAACTACAGGTAAATTTGAAGACAGATCAGCTCCAAAACTGGAGATTGATAGACTGCTTACAGCCAAGTCAACTGCAGGATGAATGCTTGCGCGTTCACATCACACTTTGGCTGAAAGCATAGGTAGCTCAACATCAGAACTCATTAAAAAAGTTCGGCCATCCACCCTGCACAGGTCGTAGAATAATCGTTGAATGCTTCAGAATCTGTTGAAGACTTCGTAGATGGAATACTCTTCAGAAACAAAATTACACGTAAATTTTCATTCAGGCATAAAATTTGAAGATTAAGGATTGAAATGAACTCACTACCTTTAAAACCGGTTTTAATGTCTTCAAGAAAGACCAGGACTTACCTTATAGAGGAAACGGAGCAAACATGCATCATCACAAGATTGCAGGCGGAGATAGTACATTCATATTCATTTTTTCTCCATTTTCTCCAGGTCAGCCTGTGAGAGAAGTGTCGCGTTGAGCCCTTTTCCAGTTTTGTCGTACGGCTGAGCCATTCGCCTTAAAAACTGCAGAACAGTGCTCCAGGTTAGAATCTAGACCACCGTGTACTGCCCGGGCAGAACGAAATAAGGGGACTAAAACAAGATCTTCACTAGCATCAAATTAAACAGAATAGAACTAAGCCTTAGACATACAAGTATCCACCTTGCTAAGCACTTTGAAAGCCGGGGTAAAAGCGTTCAATTACAGTAGATGCCGAACTAATGCAAAACAGCTGCCATCAAGACACGACCATGGACCTACAGTACCTCTCGTGCAATATGGACAGACATGTCTGTACTGAGGTTGAGGTGAGCCTCTCGTAAATGTGACAAAATCCACCCAGGTAGTTTCGATCGCTTGTCGTGCCGATTGTACCTATTCCATGTCGATTACGACATTAGGTAATGCGTAAAAATAAACATAGATCACCTTCGAAGAGCAAGTTTGTTGCAGAGGGAATGTTGAGCGGTCTCATTGAATTCGCATGTGTGCATTTTCAAACCCAACGAAACCTTTGAAGTCATGTACCACTTGGAAAACATCGAGAACTAGGAACTTAAAATTTATTCAGAGTTGGAAAGAGATGGAACAGATGGCATACCTCTTGTCAGCAAAAATCATCATTCCATAATCTGCTTTAGAACGAATAACGCGTCCCACACACTGTGCAGCTTGACGCTGACCCACACGAGTATACAAATGCACCTCATTAGCAAAAGGAGAAAGTAATGTCATGAACTCGTTGAGAATTTCATGAACCGAATCCATAAACCAGTCCAGTAGCGAAACATACCACGGCATCAAACGTCAGGAAATCATTCTCTTTAATCTGAAAAGTTTCTCGCAGATACTCCAAACGAGCTCGTAATATTCTGTGAAAGAACAAAAGGAATTCATCAAAATCTCGACACTGAAGTTGATTACACTGAACTGTAGAAACCAGGAGCAATTTATGAAGTTGTCAATGTGTGTTGCAGCACAAGATGCACGGAATTCAAAAACGCAATCCTGTTTGTTTTGCTCCATTAATTAACTAGTAATTATCATTACCTACGATAATTCATGAGATAAACTTACTACTATATACACAGATATGGATATGATGAGGTTTTAAGTACCTGCTGAGGGTGTATTGAAATGGTACACCATACATAATCACAAGGCGACCATAGTGCCGGTCAAAATCAATACCCTCTGCAACTTTGCCCCTGCCATGTCGACAATCACCAGCCACATTGATGGTCAGTGAAACGAGGTCTCCATGTAGCTCATACGAGTTGAGGATTGAGCCTCTAAATCTCAAATACGACTGTAGATGGACGATCCAGAAACAACTTACCTAGCAACAGAGAAGAAGACTGCACCACGACCACAATCACAAGCTCGTCTGTAGTTATCAAGAGCAAGTGTGGTCTCCACCACATCTTGTGTCTCTATGAAGACCAACTTATGCTGCATAACTTCCTGTAGCCAAAGCGAAAAAGAATGAGTATAGAGGAATGCACGATTCACTGAGAAAGCGTATCATTCCATGATTGAGTCATTTCTGTGAGGTAGTTCATTGTCACAGGCCACCTACTAATTTAATTAACACATTCCCTGAACATACTAAATAGTGTAAACTGAGAAATGTTCAAAGTGGATGTGAAAATGACCTGCAATATACCCATCTCATTCCAACTATTAACAATTCCATCCATGTAGGAATAACTGACAAAGAAACACACGATTCCATCCGGAACAGCAGTGACCATCTCTAGTAGCAGACGACCGTAATTGCGAACAACTCCAGGATCACTCCGCATATCAAATTTCGTGCTGACAGGCAGCTGGTCACTGCATTGTAATAAAATTGGAATAAGAAATAAAAAATGATTACAAATCTTAAATATCTATGCAACCATTTGACCTGTTCTAACAATGGAATGCCATGCAGAAAAGCAAGTAGACCTATGAAATTGACCAAACAGCAAGGTACAAAACAATCAGGTTAGTATGACTTAATAAACACCAACAAATATTTAAAAATATCAGATAGCTTGACTATCGTCACCCACCCAAAAAAACTCAAGAATGACGTCCATGAATGCAAATTAACAAAATTTACAGAACAGCACAGGACGGCACTAACCTCCCTCGTGTGAGAACCATAGGGCATAAGCAGTCACGAGTAAGAGTCATCTTATAGCTGTTTGAGATGACTGGATGGAAATTCAGTAAACGCGGATACAGATCAATTGGACTAAGAGTACCAGACGTGATTACAACACTTTGGAATTTCTCAAATACTGGCTTTATTGCGAGGGAGGAATCCAGACAGCTCAGCTGCAGCCATAACAAGCGAAATTCACAAATTCAGAATGCAGCTGAAAGATTTCGAATAGTAAACCTCAAATTAGCTAATATCAGCACAATGAACTGCTGAAAGCGGATGAAAGAATAAAACAGAGCACTCAAAGAAACACACAAAAGAAAGCTATATTGCAATACAACTGATACTTGCATTAGTAAGTGCTAAACCCATAATCAACTGATTTTGAAGCTAACTACAGAAAAACTTTGAAGAAAGAAAACAATACGTTTTGAAATTATACGACTGAAAGCTGGCGACTTCTTCAACCCTAAAAAGATGAGGAAGAACCCACCTGCAGTACAGGATCCGGAATATTGGGCATGCGTTCATCATAGGGCTCAATGATAATGGTGAACCCTCTTGTATATGTGCCAACAAGCGTGGCGAAATCACACACAGTTTGAATGTACATAAATTCATCTGTGTTTGTCACTTCTAGGGTCAACAGCAAAGAATGCAGCCGATCATAACAGAATTTCAAACTCTTCTGATCGATGCCAGCTTGATTCTGCATCAGTTGGATTATGTCAATGATTAGTATCATACAATTTCTACGCATGGATGTGCACGAGAATACATAGAAAAAACTTCTGAAGAAGGCTTGAGTACAGAAACTTCCACGCACTCGTAATTCCTTAGTTTACACAACTTTTAAGAAAAAATTCAACGAAGAAACAGTTACCTCGTGTGTCAGGGATCACAAGGAATGATAGGTAGATCAGTACCTGCAGTGCAGTTACGAAAGAAACCGGACTCTCGCTCTCCACTTTCTCAGTAATCATCCGGTTCTTAATGTACTGCACTAGGCGCTTCAAGAAAGCTACGAAATGCTCTGCACGGCGAATATTACCAGGAACTGCTTCTTGAAGTATGTCTTGTGGTAATGCTGGGTTCGCTAACCATGTGTCCGTTCCTGAACGTCACAAAGCCAAAGAGGACATTTGAAACCCTTGTTGCTGAAAATATTATGGTAGATTTTAAGACGGCACACACAGAATACGGCGCAGAAATAAAGAATAACTTATTCAGAAGAGAAACATAAGATGCTTCGCCACTAAATCTTTTCAATACGAAGGAGATTAGGCGCACCAGCTAGGTTCCCGCGTTGGGCTAAACCCTCAACCAATCTGCTGTACTCCTGACGTAGCCGATTTGCATCTGTAGCCTTAGATCTGGAAATTGCAAATCATCTGTGAACGCGTAACAAAGCAGTTGACAGCTTCAAATTATGCAGCATGTAACTTTATCAAATGACGTGAACCAGTGACCGTATTATGTAAAAATACTGAACGTAGGGTTAGAACCACGTAAGTAAAGCCGTGCAACTACATTCACTCTGCCCACTAGACCTTGAAACCTATTTCTCGTGCCATTTCTTCACATCAAACCATTGAAAACTGCCAATTCATGAGTTTCGAAGCGATATGAATTGCTTGATGTTATACAACCCATGCCACACGAATAAGGCAATCCTCAAGTTCAGGGACATTGATGGCATTTCGAAACTCACTTCTCAATAAGTTGAGTAACTTGACTGAGATTCCGCGTGGCACCATCCAGAGTTTGTTGTCGAATGTTCACGCTCAATGCCTCGATACACACATTGTCAATGTTGTGGGCTTCATCGAACACGACCACGCACTCCTTTTCCATTTCTTTTGAGATGATTCCAGCCACTTTAGGATCTAAAAGATATTGATAATTGTATACCACCACGTTTGCAAACTGGATCATGTGACGGGCCAAAAAGTATGGGCACCATCGTTTCTCCCGCCCGAAACCCCGCAAGTCATGTAAGGTGTATACGCCGGATGGAAGAAGTGCATCGGCGCCCCCTTTCTCATAGCCTTCATAATATGGACATAATTCAATATTAGGATTATCCAAAGCCAAGCTCCTGACCCAAGAAGCTGTCAACTTCCTACACCCTGCATCCACGCTCTCCCTGGATCCTTCCCCGCTGACCTGCAAAGAGAAGCCTTTGAGCATAACTACGAACCAATCTAGTCATTTCCTCTTCAGAGCAGGGATTTTTACTGAAAATCGATGCTTAATTATCGGTACACCAGCTATTGTCACTGTTAGTCGACTTTGAACTCAAACAGGTAATTCAATGAACAGTGTATAAGCCTCCTGAATTTGCTTAGGTAAACCTCAAACCTAAAGAATGCTGGAAAACACGTTATTAATTTTAAGAGTCTGTGGGTTCAGCATTTGGTGTGTGCAAACTTCTGACCATGTTTCACTGCACTAGGTCTACTAACAGAAGCCAACATTATTTTAAAATTCTGACCGACACGTTGACACATAAATGCAAATGCATACCTGAGGGTGAATACATAGGTTTTTTCGGGAGCTCAGTCCGAGAGCAAGCATTTTCGCAGCCTTACCGAGAGCTTTTTCCTGATAAGCCTGCAACTTCCGAAGCTCCTCTAGAACCTTCTCCATCTCATGTACAGTTCGTGTGCAGTAAATAAGCTTCCCAACTGACGGATTAGCCAGCATGTAGCTCGTAATCAGTGACAGCAGGGTGATTGTTTTCCCGGTTCCTGTGGGCATTTCCAACAAACAGTGGCCCCTCGCATCGAGTGTCCTCTTGAGATCCACCATGTAATCATACTGCTCCGGATAAATGAACTCGTACGGGAAGTAAACCGTGAGCCCCTCAATCTTGAACTTCATCTTCACAAATTCAACAAACCTAGAAATTCGAACCCAATTGATTCTTTAACCCCGCAATTGGTCCCCGCAGCCCTGGAAAACAGCACCTCAATCACATAAGGCCGTCTATCCCAAAACCTAACCAATTCAGGAAGCTGTTCGTAACGAACAACTAATTATCAATCTAAACTCACCCCTAATAAAAAGCAATTCGAATTCTGATTTCCTCAATTACGCAAAATCTAATCAATCACAAAGAATAACCCACAGAAGAACTTCGAGAGCGTGTAAAACCTCCTAGGATCGCAATCACTCATGAAAGGTATTTTTCCGAAGCCGCCGAACAATTGTGCCAGACGCAGTGCGGTATTCATATGAATGGTTTCTCATGCGCTAGTTTCAAGCTGAGCTGCAGGGTTGCACCCCGGATACAAGTTCAAAAACGACCACTCTACCATGATCGAATCCTCACACACTTCTGAGATTAACTGTCCTACAGAGGGAAGATCCAAAAATTGCCACCACTCACCAAAATCGGCACCAATTGATATGTTACAAGCAGCAGATGCCAACCCAGTGCAATGCAGAGACAGCCAAGCCGAAGAAAGCTTGCCCCCCTGCTTGCAAATTTTACTGGGGGATGGCGCAAATGCAGTGGAGAAGCTGAAAACACGAGGCTTCACCTTGAATCCTCTGCTAACAGTGGGGCACCTCCGAAGCTTGACGACTAGACCTTGTGGATGCAAACCATTCATCTTCTGGATGAATCCCTAATATCAGGCAATGTTCGTTCATTTAACGCCCATCCCTTGGATCCACGGAATTGGGGCCCCGCTTGTCCCTCGTTCGAGTTCCCCTCACGTTCCCACCCGTTTCTCATGTTTATCTGTTGGATTAAGTATTTCGTGTTGCCATTAAATTTGCTTTAGTTTGCCCAAAGAGAAAATGCTTAGAGAGTATGAATGTAGAAAGTGGGTTGCAAAATTTTATAGAATGAATAGATTTGAATTATGTTAGAGAGGTTGTTTTGATGAAGCAAAATTGGGGTGGAATTATTTGAGAGAATGTTTTGGGTAAGATGTTTTGGCAAAAATGATGTGCATGTTGGATTAGTGGTATTTTTTAGGTAAATTGTGCTAGGATTGATAAAAATAAAAAATAAAAAAATCTTAATCTTTCTTAATAAAATAATCTTTAGTAGAAACAATAATAATGTAAGTTTTCCTATGTTAAGTACTCTAAAAACTTTTAAAAAATCATCTTTTTAAAATTAAGCCTTTAGATGAGAGGTTATTGTGTTGTGACTTCTATCATTGCAAATTAGCATATTTTACAGTATTAATACATGGCTTGATTTATATGCTTGTTGTAGAGTTTGTACTCCTTTTAGGATTTTCTCTACAAAACTTTAATAAAAGAGGCCTAATTGATCTTGGCTTTGCTAGATATTTTGGTGCACTTCGAATTACTTCTAATTTTTTGTTTTGGTAGTCTATGTGTGTGATTGTTCTACCTATTTTCTAATTGTGATAGGTATTAAGGTACAATTCAATCTAGACTTGATTTGTGCTTTTTGGCATGTTTTCTAAAATTGCCACATGCACCTTAGAAATGCTTATTCACTACTATAAGTATGTTAGTGCATGCATGAGTTTTGTAGATTTTTGACTATATAATGTGTTGTACGCACAATGTATTAGTACACAACAATTTGTTGTCTTCAATTATACAAGTAAAAATAATAATAAATTGGATGAAAGTCAAAATAATATCAATCTATGTCAATGTTGACTTCAGTAATAAGCTATGTCATAAATTTCTACTATTGGTAGAGTAGCATTAGTTTATGTGCTAATATATATATATATTAAAAAAATAAGATTTGTAGATGGTTGATAAAATATGTATTAAACATATTACTTCTTATACTTAAAACTTCTTAAAAAAGAACATTTTTTTATTAAAAATAAATAAATAAATAAATAATGTATCATTATTTCAAAAAATTAAGTCAAGACTTCAAAAACAAGAGGACTATATCACTTAAATCTTACAAATTTTACTTTAAATTATATATATATATATATATATATATATACACACACTAAATAACCACAATTATTTTCTTGTTAAAAAACGATTTTGGCTTAAAAATAAATTATTATTGTAAATATTTTTAATTAAAAATGAAAGCCAAGATTCATAATTTCTACCACAACTATTTATTGCAATTTAACATATTCTCACACAATTAAGCTTTTCTTCCAATTGTTCTTGTTTATATCTTTGTTTTTATTTTGCTACTTTTGTTATGCTACAAGATATTTTGTTGAATCTACTATATGTTTTAACTATTTTGGTAGTACCTAATACTAAGTTTAGACCTGGACTTCTTCAGGAACAATTTTAAGATTATAAATTTTTTTGCAAGGTCTTTGGATCTAACTTTTTTTTTTTTTTTTTTTTTTTTTTTGGAACTTTAGAGGAGAAAATATTAACAAAAAATTCCATGTTTTTTTCTTTCTAAAAGCTCTTATGATATATATATATATATATATATATATATATATATATATATATGTATTTTGAGTATGTTTTTAAAATTCAAAATAGAAGAAAATTAAATGAAATAATGAATGTTCTCCTCTTTTCTTAGCACTACGAACTTTTTTTGTTGGTGTATATTGTCATAGTTTTTAAATTTTTCTAAATGTTATCTTCTATCTTAATTACAAATTATGATGCCACTCTATGATTTTAATAAACATTTATAGGTTTTTTAAGAAATAAAAATTATATATGCATATATGCATATTAAGATTTATTATTTTTAATTTTATATTAATTTTAATTATTTTAGAATCGTAATATTAAACAAGAATATATAATAATAATAAATACAGAAACCTCTTTTATTTCATACTTTTTATACTCCCCGATAATATATATATTTTTTTTTCCTAAATGAAAGATAGATAAAAAAGAAGTTTGGTTTATTAATGAATTTTTATGATAAATATTTATTAATTTTTAATATACATCTAAAACAAAATTTTAATTTTTTGTGCTTTGCCTATTTTCTGTTGGATAGCCAAAATAGAGAAGTTTAAATATTATTGTAACAGATAAGGATTTGAAGGCTTATAACTCTTAATTCTTTTTTTGATATGTATAATTATGTAATATTTGCAATGCTACAAAAATTATTGTTTGCATCACAATTATATAAATAAATAATTTAAAAGAATATATGAAAAAAATTTAGTTACTAAAAATTAAATAATTAATTTTAGTTTTGATTAAATCAAAGATACTTACTATTGCCATCATAATTTTTAAAATTAATTAATCAATAAACATGTCTTCCTTTACTACTAATTGATATAGAATTTATAATATGCTTAAATATTGCTTGCATAATTTTTTAAATGCCAAATAATGAATCCTTTGGCATTTTCACGATTTTTTTGTTTTCCTTAATTTAAAAAGTAAACAAGCAAAGAAATTTGAATTAAAATTGTATATTTAAGTTAAACCAATTACAATTACAATGAATTGATAATAGTTACAAGATTTTAAAAATAAGACACAAATATGAAGTGCCAACATTATCTATATATATAATTTTAAAAATTAAATTTTCAATATTATAAAGAGTCTAAAGTATAAAATATAGAATTCTTATTTAAAGTTCTCTAGCAATAAGTTTCTAATTTTGATATTAGAAAAAATAAGAAGTATCTAAAGCTGACAATTAGAAGTCTCTCATAAAATTTTGAAATAATATAAAATAAGAATTTAAACCCAATCTTTAACTAATACATATAAAACTTAGATAAAATATGCAAACATTTATAAAAAAACATTACATTAAAGTTCAAATACTTTCTACATCTATATAGTCTATTAATAATATTATATTTTATTATAATTATTCCAAAAATTTGTTAAAAATATTAAGATCCAAAGAATATATATGTAATAGCAACTTATAAATGCAAGTTGTTATGTTTTACATTTATTTTTAAACTCAATAAAAAATATTATATTTCTTGCATCAAAAAGATGAATAGTTATACAAATTTTTATGAAACATTATTTTTTAAGAAGAATATGTTAGTGATCCAAGAAATTTGTTGATTTATTGCAATATAAAAAGCATTTGCCAAACTTATAATGTAAGGTATTACCTCTCAATTGCTAGGGCATACTAGTTTTTAATGTTATAAATAAATCTAATCTTATATTATTTATAATATTTTTTTTTCAAATTTAAAAAATGTCTTTCACGTCCATTATAGTTGAAAAAAGTACAAGTAACATTAAATTGTTTTAAAATTAATCAAAATGGATTAGGATGTTTTCAAATTCTTCAAAAATATATTTCTTGCTTATTTTTTTTTAAAAAATTATGAATATTTAAACCAACCATGCAAAAATAATACTAAAGAAATTTCATGCATTATATTCTCCACATTACCAGTAAAGACCATGAAACAACATAAAAATTACAAGCTAAAAAAAAATACAATGCTTATATGTTCAATCACCTCCACAATATTGTGCTTGTTCAAGATTCAAGTGCAAAAAATAAAATAAAATAAAATAAAATGAAGAAGATGACATCAAAGCAAAACTGCACTTACAAAAATGTACTACTATGGTGGAAGCAAGTTGACAAGAGACATGAAGATGGTAATGCATTCATCAACACAAGCAAGTTGACAAGAGACATGAAGATGGTAATGCATTCATCAACACAAGCAAGTTGACAAGAGACATGAAGATGATAATGCCTTCATCAACACAATGGGAACTCCATCTAAGTTTAATCCATTGCAATTAAATGACTACAATATCAAAATGGTGATGAAGTTGTCCACCTAGATTCACCTCCCCCCACAACCTGATTGGACAAATTGAGCGGTTGAGTACTTCATGTTAACATTTCTACTTGAATAATCATCCAACTGATACAACAACAACAACAACAAAATGATTAATAGTGGTAGATTATGGTTAAGTAAACAGTCCATTTCTTTTGGGTAGGACCCAGTTAACTATTAACTAAACTGCACTGATTCCTGACCAACCAACCACTTTCTAATGGCCATGAAAACGGTTGGGCAGCAGTCCATAGTCCATTCTTCTTAGTTTGCTCTTGTGTGCTGCAACTTCTCTGCTTTTCCTTTTGATTCATGCCTGACCTCCTTCATTTTCTCACAGCTCATGCTGTGCAACTGTGGTAAGGTTTTTGTGCTACTGATGATCGGGTGAATTTTTTAGGCCATGGATGGACTTGTGTGGAAGTGGGCATGCTTGACTTTGATTCATAGCTTGTGGGTTGTCTGTTTGTGAACGGTTTCATGTCTTTTATGTGGGTTGTCTTGCGATGAGTTTTTTAAGGGTAAGCTCGGGTTTGATGATGTTGAAGTTTGGGTGTAGCAATTTGTCACAATTGTCTTGGATCTTGCAAACGTGGTGAAGCAGCCAACGACTGGACTAATAGTGTCTGTGCTTGTCCTTGGTATTCGTCCAACAATTTCGTGTTCATTCAATTTCGTCGGAAATACATCATATCTTCTCACTTAGTTTTAGGTTATGGTTCACTGAGTATGTTCGTGATGCAGTTTGTTTGGGTTCAGTGGCAATTCGCAAAGTTGGTGTTCAATTTTGTCATTCGAAACTGTGTACTCCAATCTTTCGTAGTGATTGTTGTGTTTGGTGCAACTGGATAGAACTCAAGATGCAGACCTAACTTGTTTTTGGCAAGTGTTGCTTGAATTGCTGTCCGTGTGTTGGAAGGTTGCTGGTGCATTGAACAATCCTTGTTGGTCTTTTTCCAATTGTTTGTCACGAGTTGTGTTGAATGGAGAGTAAATTCTTTGCATCGAAGAAACTTAGGTTCGGAAGGTGTTGAAACAAAGTAGAAGACATTCAAAGCCACCACTAGCTGCACCGGCTACGAGTTGCAAGACGCGCTCAACCGAGGGCCAAGATGTTCTTTTGGAACACTCACAGAGAAACGGCAACTTGGGTGCAGTGCGGACTAACAACGCCATTGAGGAACGCAGGCTTAGTGAAAACAGCGAGGAAAGTCCTCAAGGTTCCCGAGCTGGATATGGCGATGACAGCAGTGTGTCCGGCAGCGTCAAACTCAGTTACTATGGAACGAAGGATCATCAACGGCATGGGCCTCGGGGCACTGGGTTGCGGGAGTGGAAAGGGGATTTTGTTGGGAAGCCAGAGAGGGAGATTGGTAAATTAGGCGCAGATGAGGTTATTAACGGTGGTGGTCTTGTAAGAATTCCCCAGTCAAAGCGTAGACAGGGAAAGGCGGACAATCGACCACCGTCCGAACCACGAACTCGAATGCCTACCATGGCGTTGGAGCGTAAACCAAAAGAATCATCTGGAAAGGCTTCTTGCGAGTCCATCGTCAAGCACAACAAGCGTGCTTTCCTGGCGCCTAGTGTACAACAGGAAGCTTCCGTAGGGTGCGAGCGCTTCTATAGACTCATGCGACTTCTCGATGAGAAAGCTATTGGTTCTAGAACCAGAGAAGAGGTAGCTGAGGGGTTGGCTGGGAAGTCCCAGCGACGGTTGGTGGAAGGGATAGACTTAGCGACTAGCGACGCTGCCTGTCTCAAACGTAGCAGAAAGAGCTCCTCACGTGATAATGGCGGCAAAGGGAAAGAAATGGCACTTCTTGCAACCATTCCACACTCGCCTCGCATGGGCAAGTTCAGGGGAAGGCATCTTTTCGGGATGCAGGAAAGTAATCCTGGCGGTGCTGATTCATCGTCATGTAAGAGTCTTTGCGCCGCTGCAAGTGACTGTTCTCCATCAACCTCTCCGAATTTCCTTCCGCTCTCCCACTACATTCAGAAGCTGAGGAGTTTTTCGCCCGATTCCCTGCTGGGGGCTTCCAATGTTGAACCGTTAATGAGTGTTAACAACGCCGTTGGAAGTGGTGCCGATCGGCATGAGCATCACGAGAAGTTCACTTGTGAGGATATCAGAGCAATGTCAGTTTCACATGATCGGGAGCACGGCGTGGGTCTCTGTTCAACGACGTCACCATGTGAATCTGCGTCCGCGGTCTTTTCACCTGCTAGTACTAACCCCTCCAGCCCAAGGGTGCTTCCTCGCTCGTCGCCCCAGCTCATGAACAACCGATTTGGATTGTCGTCGTCGTCTGCGCTATTCGCATCTCTTGCCCATCCGACAGAGCTGGGAACTTCGCAGGCGAAACTGTCGCAATCGAACTCCGACAATATTGCCTTTGGCTCGGGATTTGAGTCGAACACCATTGCCCGTCAGGACAAGTCTCACCACATGATCACCACGCTCAGTGACCAGCTCTCGTATCCTCCCTTCCTCAGTGACCTCCAGGTAATCTGCTCCTCTATTCTAGCTGCTTAAAACATACTTTTTGCAGCTGACAATTGAGGATGGACATCGACAATTTAACATATTTTGCAGGCTAAGGTGTCCTCAGAGGTGATGGACGAGACTATGAACAACGTGCAGCGAGCTCTTGGCGAGTTGAAAGGCTCAGTGCAGTGCATGAAAGTATGGTTGGATGCAGATGGACAGGGATGGCGTGAGCATCTTGATAGATTAGAGAAGGAACTTGAAAACTTGAAAGATAAATCGGATGACGAGATCATTGCGGCAAAGCACAGCCTTCGCAATGAAATGAAGGTAAAGCTGGGTGACCTCATGGCAGAGATGGAGAGAATCCGGCGCCAAGAAAGAGATGAGGTACAATTAGGCTTCAGTTTTTGTATGCTTTATTTTGTAGGCAGCTTGATACTCCTGGATGTTCTGTTGCTAGATCAGCAGGATAGTGCTGACGTAGAGTCTGCTCTTACGTTCATGTAATGACGGCAGGGTCTAATGGGTCTTACAACTCAGGTAGAGGTGATGGTGGAGGAGATGGTAGAGAAGATGCTTCAGTCACAAGTATATACCAAAAGCTCTGTAGAGATGAAGGATGAGATACATCTTTCATACCGGACGTCGTTGTTTCTAATTCAGATTCATCATTGTGAGGTTCAAGAAGCAAAGCTAAAGACTTAGTTCTGATGAAGGTAACCCAGCCTCCTATTTACCGATATTGAAACAAGATCGATACTCGGAAGAAGGTAGTGGTCTTCTCAAGCATCCTCTTGATACCAGAACGGAAAGGATGAAGTGTGTCTTGTATGGCTAACCTTTGTTTGTGGGTTAACTGCAGTCTGAAGGAGACCTCTAAGGTTCACACTCTTATGTGTACTTGTAGGTGGATTTGGAGAGTATATGAACAGGGCTAGCAAAGTTGCAAGAAGAGACGAAAGATTTGGAGCGCCAGAAGGAAGCTTTGCAAGGAGGTGGACGAGAGCGTATATTGATCACGGAGAGAGTGGAAAGTTTGTCACAGCGCTTCTTGGGCGGGTTGGAGGAAGTCAGAGAAGATGTACTGAATGTAAAATTTGAGTGTCGAGATCGTCTTCGGGAGTGTGAAAACCAATAGAATGATTTCAGAAAACAGCAACTTGAAGGCTCTGACTTGGCATCTAAACAGGTTAGAGAGAATCAGTAGTCAAAAGTTTTACGTTTAGAGTGAAAGTATTGTGATATGTTTAGTTTTCTTACGTTTTAAAATGGTCGGCTTTCAATTCATAAACGTTTCCTTTTTGCCACACATAAACATCTGGGATTGATGCGCAGTTTATGATCTTGGGTATGATATTTGACAGATGGTTCGAGACGAACTGGACCACTTCCGAGCCGAGATTGCAGAGATGGTAGACATCGAGCGCGGCCTTGTACAGCAGACACTTGAGGGGGAGAGTGAGTTAGTCGAACGGCAAGTCAAAGACTTGCTTTTTAGCAGCAAGACTGAATTAGTGAACGTGGTAAAACTTGATGTCCAGAAGTGGTTGCAGAATACTCACGAGAGAATTTTCCTCATGACCGAAGCTCTAAAGCGGGACCTTGATAACTGCAAAAACGAGCTCGGTCGGACGCAGGTACATTTGAACTTGTTTATAGTTGGTTTATATTTCAATGATTGAAACTCAAGTTTCGCTGAATAATGTGGTGTAAATCTTGAGATCTGAGAAGAGTTTAGCATATATCGAACTTACGTAACTTAATGGATCATTCTTTGTACGGAATTAAGTTTTCAGATTTTCAGAAGACTTTCAGATTTTTTTGAGCTGGTAGTTGAACTTGTTCAATCAGCATGAATCAAAGACATGGGGTGAATGATATCTTATCTGCCGTGGGGTTTGAGCAGGAAGGTGCTGAGGATCTGATGCAAATGATTTCAGCCGTTGAGATGCAGCGAGAGATGGCTACAGCTGCTGCTGCCGATGCTTCCAGGTCTGCGACTAAAGCGAGTAATGTATTAATGGATGTGTCCACAAGTATCAACAACGAGATGATGAATACCCATCTTAGGATGAAACAATTCGAGGTATATTCGTCATTTCTAGTTGAGGACAAGTTTTAGAGAATCGTTGACATGGCGACTTGAGTTAAAATTGCTCCAGTGTCTAGTCTACAATGTGGTAAGTGAATTGTTAGATTGATTGTGAGTGCAGGAGTTATTGTCAGTTGAGAAGGAAATTGTGACCTTGGCTATGTATGAAGCACGGAAGATAAGCCATGAATTACAGAAAGAGAAAGAAGACGCTCTTGTTGTTGTCAAAGAAGCACTACACAAGCAACAGGAAATGCAAGATCACTCGGAATCAGAAAGCTCCAGATTATTGACAGCCTACATGGCAATTCAAACCGAGCGTGGCACAGCATCGCAAGCTGCTTCAGATGCAACATCCTCGGCGATGAAAGCGAAGGAAACCGTGACTGAAATATTGGATACTTACCATGTGGAGATGGCTAAGGTCCGGCACACGAGTTCACAATTCCAGGTAGGATATGAATACCTATATTCATTGCTAACGATAATCATGATTGAGACTACAGCTGGATGAATCCTTGATTAAATTCTTAGTAATATTCTGAAGAGATGAGAAGTCCTAGTGGAAAAGAGTGACATAATTTAAGATGGAATTGGAATCTATATTTACTGTATATTTCTAAATGGTTTTGCAGAAGGTCCTTGAAAAGGAGAGACTTGAGCTGGAGCGTGAGCGAGAACTTGCTGCCAAGAACAGTCACATCGCGCAGGATCGTCTCAGGGAAGAATTTGAGCTTGCCATTGGTGACTGGAAACAGACATTGAATGTCGAAATTTTCAGAGCTAAGGAAGAACAGATGAACTGGAAAAGGAGATGCTGCGGCGTGGAACATATGTGCACGATCACCTAAGCCTAAAGTTGTCTCCCAAGAGCTTCTCAGCCCAGTCGGATCTGAAGAACCCCATTTCAAAGGTTTTTTTTTTTTTTTTTTTTTTTTTTTTAATTTTTTTTTTAAATCCATAATCCAGCTTATCTCAATATTCTCTGCGCTTACTCCAAATTGCAGCTATTCCGTGACAGGTATAGGATTACTTGTAGAGCCCAGTATTCATGATATCAAGGGTTCACAGCTTGTTCTTCTTGGTTTCGCTGAGCTGAAGAGTGACAACAATCACTTTTGTTTTTCAAACTAAACATCTTACGTTTCACCTCAGACGGAGGAGTCAATCTCGGGTGTCGCTGCAATGGTGAAGGAAATCCAAGATTACAGAGAGCACTTCTGTAAGTAGAAGAAAAGGCGCCCGATCCTTAAGCAACAGGAGAACGACGAGAAGGAGCAGCATTGGAACGGCAGAATCAGTCAAATTAATAAGGTTAGTAGCTTTTCCTCATGAGAATGTTGCGTCTTTGAGTGACATTAATTTTAAAAAATATGCTGGTTTGCTAGAGGATACGAAGACAAAAGCTTGGGATTACAGTGTCCAGCCCATAGGCAGTGTACAGAGTGCAACCTATACACTTACCCAATGTAGCTAAATTACTGTTGTTGCAGGTTGTGCAAGTCGTAGAAAAGAGGGTGCGAGACACTTGTGGAGATTATACAGAAATGAGAAAAAAAGTTAAGAAGTGTGAAGGGGCGCACATAGGTCTGGTACACATTGTGGAGGACGTGAGGTCGACCACGAGTGAGCTTGCAAAAGCTGTTGGCAGTTGGCTACCTCGATATAAAGCTGCTGCGCGCGTTGTAAACGACCTCTTCTGCAAAGTGGAGCGCGCTGAGGAGAAATTCCAGCGCTTCAGTTGTGATGAGGGTCTCGCACGGCGTATCTCTCACATTGCCGAGTCTAAAATAGAAGGCTTGAAGGAGCATGTGTCGTCCAATGTAGTTATGGAGAACATTGGACAAGATCTGCGAGATCTTCATGAGCGCGTCGAGAACAGTGACCGCATCCACTGCCAAGTTAACTCACAATGCAACCGAATATGCCATTTGGAAACGTCGAGAGCACAAGCAATGTTGTGTAATACTAGTTCCATCTTATTGTTTGGCATGTTTCGCCGAAAATGTAGCGCTATCTGCTTGATAAAAATCATTAATTTTGCTTATTAATATGTTATGAGAAGCTGGAACTCTTGATACAATTCTACACTAAACCCCCACTGAGATGTGGATGTTCTTTTGTCCACCTCTAGGCAGTTGGAGAGATTGCATCCCGTTTGGCGGTGCTGGAACGAACCATTAATCGTGTGCCTGGTCAGCCAGTTCCCGGATTGTCCTTGAGGGTGGAGTACATGAATAGTGCCGCGGCCCGTAGACCAGGACTGGGATCGTTAAGCCAAAGTCTCGAAGCACTGGAGGAGTGCGCTTTTGCTGTCCTGCCTTTTGTTGCTTGTCTCTGTGAAACCACGTCACTTTTCAGGATGTTCCTGTCCGTGTGAAAGTGTTTGAGGCCTTGGATGATAATTCACAATCAAGCCATGTCAAGTTTTACAAAATTTATGTAGGGTGGTTACCAGCAAATATTTTAATGAATAAGAAATGAACGCAGGAAAATGGAGATTATTACCGAGCACACCGGTGCTTTGGTTGGAGGCCACGAGTCAGCGAATGACACTCGCCTGCTTGGATTGGAGAGCCGCATTGAGCACATAGCATCAGCAACATTCTCCAATCTACGGTTTGTTTTTTCACATGAATTACATCTTGGTTGCTCCATTAGTAAGCATTAGAGGTCTTTGCTCACAATTACTGGAGAATGGGGACTAATTTTGTTAAGAATGGGCAGCAGTTGCCACTCCCCGCAACCTCTGAAGAATTGTAAATTTGTAGTGTAAAAGATAGAGGTAACACTCTCCAAATTTCACATAACTGGCTGTACCTTCATGAGCCTGAATTCATTTAGGATTCATTTACCAGTACTTTCAAAACCTTCCCCGCGTGCAGACCGATGCGGATGAACCAACACTTATCCTCACCCGCAAATGTTGCTTGATAAAGGAGGATGAGAAAAACATGTAATGCCATTTAGAGACCACCATGAGAACAATTTGTGATCTAGAAAGCAGGCTCAGGTTCTGGAATGTTGGTCCCAAAAGACCAGGCTGAAGTCGAAAGCTCTTGTTCAATGTCATCTGAGCAGGACAACACTCCCAACAGGCAGAGTTGTTACCACCTCAGGGCGTCTTTAAGCGATGCGGAGATGGGTTGTAAGTTGCATGCGCAAGGAGCGTAGCTCTCTACATTACAGGCAATAACCAGGAGATCTCCTCTAGAGAGATGGCATTACAGATCGGGAAAATACCGAAATTCAGTGTTCCGTTTAGTGATGCTGAATGCTGTCCATCGATCATCCGACAAGCTGGGGAATGTGGTTGGTGTCCGATCTTAAAACAACACCACCATTGTACACAAACAGCAATCGCTTATCAAGTGTGACCTTCCTCGCCATAGCTGATGTTTCAACAATTTTTTAAGTGCTTTGAGCGGATAGGTATGTTCCATTCCACATCCCACTCACAATCTTAAAATTTATTATTGAAGTTGAGATCAAACGGTTTTGTTCAAATAATCCTATCACACTTCTAACTCGGCATGTTTTTTGTTCAGATACGACGCACACGTGTATGATCTGCATAAATGCTTCAATCACCTACTCTACTCAATTGTGCATGCCTAAGTAATTCTCGGGACCTTCCTTCTGAAGAGAAATTTACAATTGAGTAATGAATTCAGAGGAATCCGTGACGGCAGTATTGATCCCTGTGTACTTGGTTGTGAGCAGGAACTGAACGGAGAACCGTTGCGCTGAGATCCCTCCCCACTAAATATGTTCACGGTCTCCCAGAGATGTGCGTTTTGAGGACCAAAATGGGCAACACAGAGTGTACACAATAATTGTAGCTCTAGATCTATTTTATTTTGCTACTTGGATTGCCAAGTCAACAATCTTGCCATGCTAGACCTGTTACGGCCATGGGAGTGATAACGAAGTCGACTAAATGACAGTGGTCGGACTAATACTCATCGCAAGCTTCCAGCACACAGTTAGGGAATCCTGCTACTCAATACAAACACATGCTGATTCCCCACATGGGCATAGCCTTCAGTTGAGTTGCAATGATACTGTTTGGAGAGACACAAGAGTAATTAGAAGTAATGTGTGCTAAAAAAACACACACACATAGAAGTATATTGAAGTGGTTATCTCACATATACAAAGAAAATGGAAGATAAATAGTTTCTTCCCACTACATTCTAAACATTGTAGCTTTAGTATTATAGAGAGTGTTGGCTACATTTAATGCTTTCAACACTCTTCCTTGTTTGTCATAATATTTATATAACATAAAATTTACATAGAATTATGATATATATATATATATATATATTTCTTACAAGATCAACAACACTTGCCTTGTTAAAATCTTATTTAGAAAAACCTTATTGTATTTAAGGGCAAAATTATAGATAAAGGAAAAAGAGTATAACATCATTTTAAGATTTCATTAATTTTTTTATTTAAGAAAAGCAAATCATTGCATGCCAATGCCATAAGTAAGTCAACGATGGTTGCACAAAGAAAGAGCTTTGGTGAGGAGATCAACAAGGTTATTTGGAGATTCAATTTTCTTGATCTTAAGTACTTGATCAGTACCCAAGTCATGGATATAACTAAAATACTTAAAATCAATATATTTTATCCTATTGCCTTTAATGAAACCAACTTACATTTGTATAATACAAGTGCTATTGTCTTCATACAAGATAGTTGGAGAATCATTATATGAAAGTCCATAGGTTGTTTGAATGAATTTATCAATTGATTACAACCAAATACATTCCAGAGATGCTTCATGTAAGGCAATAATTTTTGTATGATTGGATGAAGTTGCAATTATAGTTTGTTTCACTAACTTCCATGATATTGTAACTCCATGTCTTAAGAGTACATAGCCTGTTTGAGATTTAGTTGTTGCAATATCAGATTTATATCCTACATCAAAATATCCAACCAATTTTGGATCTGTAGATCGTGTATAGTATAATCTCAAATCTTCAGTGTCTTTTAAATAACATAATAAATATTTGATGCCATTCCAATATTATAGTGTTGAATGTGCATTGTGTCTTACAAGAATACTAATTGCAAATGTAATATCTGATCTTGTAGATGTAGCTAAATATAAAAGTATTCCAATTATTGCAAGGTATGGATATTAATCTTTTCATATTTCATCCTCCTCTTTGCATAGATAGTATGGATCATGACCATCACGACCATGTCTAATCATTAGTGTTGATAATGGATAAGCATCAATCATATTGAATCTTTGCAAGATTCATCTAATATATGTTAGTTGGTAGAAAAAAATACTACCATCTGTGAAATGTATAATCTGAAGACTAATATAGAAAGTTATTTTTATTACTATTTTCATGTCAAACTCACAAATAAGTAACTTAGTAGCTATAATGCATACAGATCTAGTATCCACTAGATTAAGATCATCAACATATACAACAATAATTATAAAACCAATTTTATCTTGTTTGATAAATAAAGAAGGGATTAGTGGATCACTTACAAACTTATTTGTAATTAAATAATCTTGAAGATATTGATACCATATGTATCCTAATTATTTTAGACCATACAAGGCCTTGTGTAATTTAATATCATAATATTGTTCTAGAGTAAGTGCATTTGGAATTCCTGTTTCTAAATCAGGTGGAACTTTTATATAAATATGTGCAACAAGAAAACCATATAAATATATAATTATCACATCCAGAAGATATATCTCAAAAGTAACATGAATTGTCTAGTTTAGGATTTATGATTTAAGATTTAGAATTCAGTCCACGTGAGGGAATCCTACCTCCTTTTCTCTTTCTTTCTCCATCCTTCTTCTCTTCCCTTTCCTCCCTTTCTTTTCATTTTGTAGATTCGGATTGGACACATGCACTGAATGTTTATTGTTTGTTTATTGTCATGTGGAGGAAAGAGAGAGAGTTGGACTCGATACATACATTAAGTATTTGTTGCTTGTCTGTCATCATGTAGAGGTAAAAGGAGGGAAAAGAGGGGAAGGAGAAGCACTCTCCTTTGCACAATCAAACACGTAGTTGATCTTCTCTTGGCAAGAGAGTTGTAGAGAAATCTTTGAGAGGAAGCTAGAATAATCATTTTTGAAATTAAAAGCTCCATTATTGCTGTAATAAAATGTTGTCACATGACAAACTAGTACTGCTTCTTCACATGAGTGGTACTCATCGAGAAGGAGATTATACCAAGTCTTACGCACTTGTACAGAAGGAATAAATCTAATGTCGTAAAGTTAATGCTGCCATTGAATTCCTATATACCTTTTGTTTGATATAAGAATAGAAATTCTTGGAAAAATTGATTGCCACACAAAGATGGATTTTTTCTTCTAACCATGTTTGATAGTGGTAACTGAGTAACCAAAAAGTTGCAACTATGGTTTGATTAGTGCTTATCAAAGTAGGACAAGAAAATCTACAAACTTGGTCGAATAAGTCTTAAACTCAATAAAAATGATGCTATTAAGAAGATTCTTACTAAACTTGGAATAACACAAAAATAAAACATTCATTCACAAGTACCTAAAAAATAACCTTTAGCATCAATAGTCCACCTAGAATATCTACTACTACATTGATTATCGATGTTGCTCATTATCAAATAAGATAGAGTGTTGGTACATAATTGTATGCATTACTTGCAAGTAAATTCATTTTGAGATTTTGTTAAGCTCTTGTCATTTTTTAGAGATGGATGGAATTGAGCAAGCTATATGGACTATATAGATTGATATACAGATTGTTAACAATTCTTTAAAGAATATGTCTAGTAGTCATAGTATCCGGTTGTGCCAAGTCAATGAAGGTTGTGATTGTGAGTTGAGAGCTGTTAAATTAGAATATCAAAATTATGTAAAATAAAGCAAACAAAGTTTTTTGTATCTGAGTCCTACAAAAGGCCTAAAGTTCAGGGTTATATCAAACATATGAGATCAATTTTTGAAATTTATCACATTTATCTTTTGATTAAGGTTTAGTATTTTATTAAGTTTCAATATTTATAGTGATGAGACAATAGCACAATGGAAAAAATACTTCCAGTGCTGTTGGTGTAAAAAACTATACTATGATGATCAAATAGCTTATATACTGCATGCCTAATTTGAACTAAAAAAAATCCAAGTCCTTCTACTAATGCAAAATGGATATCCTATTTTCAAATTGAATCTCATTAAATATGTTATTGATGATAGTATTGAGATTGATCTCTATCTTGGATCAATTGAAAATCCCACTCTATGAAAACAATCAAACACAAAAAACATTCAATAAGCTTTGGTGATCACCACAATGTAATACTTGCAATGATTGAGTACCACCAATAAAAGAGAATTGTCTTTCAAGATCTGTTAAACAAACCTTGTATAGAACAAATCATATTTATTATTTAGTTACTAATTATTGCATTGCTAATGAGTATGAAATGAATCTATCCCTTACTCTGAGGATTTATCTTATATAAAATCTTCTCAACATGACTTGAAGACAAAAAAAAAAAAAAAAAAAAAAAAAAAAGTGAGAGCCATAGTTTAAAGAAGCAAAGCTAACTCTACATTAGTTAAGCTTTATTATAAATGGATGCTTCATCCAACATATACATTGATCTTTAAGGACAGATCTGATGTTTGCAATAACAACTGTAATTAAAATATCCTACTAGCACCATTGTTAAAAGACCTCATAGTATCAATGTAAATAATAGTCTCAAAAGCATCATCCAACAGGTTAGTATTTATATTTTTTTTGCAAAAGTATGTGCATCAAGCTCTTGTACAAATAGCAAAGGCCATTCTACAATTGCTGGCTGGTGGAAAAAACTATCATGTATATATTACACACCTATTATCAATTCCTTGATAACAAGTATTCATCCAGTAGGATCACGACTTTTTTTTAAAAAAAAAGACAAGAACAATCATTTCTAAGTAGAGATAAACCAAAGATACATCTATAAGCATTTTTGCAAATAAAAATTAAAATAATTCATATACATGAAAAGACAATTCTATGAATAATAGGTTCACAAAAATAAGATCTAGAGGTTCAAAAGAGCCACTTCAAATGAGTGGAAGTTTTGAATAAAATGATTTACAACTTATTCAAAAATAAATTGAAGGTAATAAAATAATCAATTGCATCAAATCAACATGGATCTTTTAATAAAGAGTATTTAAAAAAGATACTAGTTCAATTATTTTACATCAATCAATCTAGATATTTTTAGACTCACTTATGTCCCTTTTTCTTTCCTTCTGGCTATAATGCCACTCCTTTGTGCTTTCCTATTCATCACGCTCTTGTCCCTTGTCTCTTCTTTCTTTGTCTTGTTCTCTAATTCATACCCGTTCTTATTCAACTTTATAATCCTAGACAATATCTTGAGATTCAAGAAGCCTTGACTTGGACCTCACTTTATTTCTTACTCTTATCCCTTCTTTCATCTTCAATATGATTGATAGGCTTTTCTTTATCTTTATCAAGATCATTTTTCAAATCACTATTAGCATTTGAATTTCATATTTTAACAAGATCATCTATTGATGTTTTAAAAGTTTGTCCTTTCTGTGCACCACCATCTGAGCTTATTATAATTGATACCTACTCAACAAAAATAACTTTATTTTCCATGGTTCTAATAAGTTTTTTTGCAATATATTAATCCATATTAAAAATATACCTTTTTATAAGTAATTACTTCTAAATAATATCAATACTAAGAGTGTTATCTAGTTAGTGTTGTGGAAATGCATATCTTTGATTAGATTTCAAGTTTAAGATTTAGGATTTAAGGTTTAGGAACTTAAGAGCTTAGGATTTAGGATTTAGAATTTTAAGGATTCAAGATCTAGGATTTAGGATTTTAAGGATTTAAGATTTAGAATTTAAGATTATAAGGATGTCTTATGGATTTTTGATCTTAAATATTTCACAATTTTTATATTTTTGTCAATTTTGAAATTTTTCTAAGGCATATATTGTTACAAAGACCTATACAAATGCTTTTATTTCTTAAAATTATGTGTTTAATTTTTTTAAATTTAGGATTTGAAGATCCTAATTAGGGGTCTAGATTTGAGATTTGTTAGGATTTGAGATCTGTATATAGAGTTGATAGAGATGTACCTTGATTTTTTTGTCTAGAATATTATTCTTTTCTAGTTTCACCATCTTGTCTAATTCGGATCTTCTCTTTGGACTTGCTACCTTGATCTTGCATTTGACTTTATCTTTGCTTTTGAAAACAATATCTCTTCTT